GCTCCAAACAATTGGATAATTTTGACATCCTGCAACTTTATGTAGATTGTGTCCAAGTGTTGAAGATCATGTTAGCACTAGCAGGTTATTCTGGTCATGCTAAACAAATACAGTGGATTAAGAGAGTTCCCTTTCCTGCTGCATGATTTTAAGAGTCTGCAAGCTATACAGACAGCCTGATGATGGTATGCACATTGCATGTCTTGTGCAATGCTTTATAGTGCAGGAAACCCAGCAAGGGGCATCTGCCTTCCTAAAAATTATCATTGACCCATTCCTGTTTAAGAACCTTGAGAAACTGATAGATTCAGCCTGCAGCTATGTGAAAATCTCTTTGCCAAGCCATGCAGAACTTACAATGCCAATACACTGCAGACACAAAAGTATTACCATGACAAAACCAAACTCCCACCATTGATGGGAGACTTTCCTAATACAACAGTCTCTCTATAGTAATATACTAGTGTGCACAAATGATAACACAATGAAATGGATGTGGAACCACTGTAGGATCTCTGTGGTAGTGGTGCACAGCTTTTCAGTTTCATTTTTGTCTTACCAGAGTTGTTAGCTGTTCAAGCATTAGTATAAAGTTCAGTGATGCAAAGCATGCCTAATATCATTGCAACGCTATTGTTAATGTATTGCTCCAACTATTGTTATGGGGAAAGGCATGCTGGCCTCAGTTGTTGTTGCTAAACATTTCTGCAGACTCTGTTCATCAAGAGCATAGTGCCATCCATAACATCACTGAAATCATAGGCTTTCCAATGTAACATTTGAAACTGATTCGTTACCAATGCGGTTAATGCTGAAGCCACCCAAAACTAATTCAAATCGCACCATGTTTCAGAGGCAAAGAGGGAATTTTGCACTAACTAGTACATTACAAGCAGAGATGGATGGGCATTATCCAAGATCCAAGAATATTGAAAGCTGGGAACAGATGCCAACTGCAATTTTATATAATTTCCACACATACCCTCTAGAAGGCACTACTGCCAAGAATAGCATTGCAATATGAGCAAGACACAGTTTCCCAGATGTATCATCTTTGGGAGGTCATCATTCCAGGGCTAAATTACAAAGATGGTGGTGCTTTCATGAGTAGGTCAAGGCATGGATCTCAGACACTTTGGCCATGGGCTAAGAGACTCTTTGTGGAGTTAAACACATCTCTAGTGAGATGAGATTACCCAGCAGAAAAGAGGAAGGGATGGGGTAAATTGTTCAATTAGTGCACCGGAGCCTAGGTGTGCAATTACTACTGAAACTAAAATCCAGCACAACTTTCCTTAGTGTCAGTCCTGTTCAGCTGGCAACACTCTCACCTCTAAGTCAGAAAGTTTGGGGTTCAAGTCCGACACAAGGACTTAGGATTACATTAAATACATTGCGATATAAAATGGTGCTGCACTGACAGCATCACAGCCATTCAGATGAGATGGTAAAACAAGATTCCTTCTCTTATAGATGTTCACAGGAAAGCTAAAGGCCCCATCGTAACACTTATGAAATGAATCCCTGTATAGTAGCCAACATTTCCTATGAAGAAAAGAAGCCACTAATGAAGAGGCAATATGGTCCAATGGACTTAGGAGTCGGGCAACCTGGGTTCTATCCCTTACTCTGTCTTGACTAGTCTTGTGAAAAGGAGGAGAGGAAGGTCTATTTATCTAATAAGTCATAAGAACACAAGAACGGCCATACTGGGTCAGACCAAAGGTCCATCTAGCCCAGTATCCTGTCTTCGGACAGTGGCCAATGCCAGGTGTCCCAGAGGGAATGAACAGAACAGGTAATCGTCAAGTGATCCATCCCCTGTCACCCATTCCCAGCTTCTGGAAAACAGAGGCTAGGGACACCATTCCTGCCCATCCTGGCTAATAGCCATTGATGGACCTATCTTCCACGAACTTATCTAGTTTTTGAACCCTATTATAGTCTTGGAACAACTATCATACAAATAACAACAACAATACAAGGTTGTGTACAAAGATACTGCTAAACATATAATATCTGCACACTTGCCTGCTAAGTTACTCCACAACCAGGATCTAACTCATTGCTCTGTAAAGTTAACTGGAATATAACCGGAGTATAAAAAGGCACTCGAAGATTACCACCTACCAAAATGTTGCATTTTATTGTAAAATAATAATAATAGTGTGGTGTAACCAGTATAATGATTTGATGGTGGCTCTTCACCAAAGTTTGAAGAAGTTCCTGCTCTTTTCCAGCAAAGAAACTCATTTAGAGCTCCCATAAAAAGTTTCCTGAAGGCATGAAGTGGTAAACCTGAACATTCATCACCAGTGGATCAGCAGCGGTAGATGAGAAGGCAGCAAAGGGAGGCTGCATTGAGCTTGCTGTGTCTTTAAGTCACTGATGGATTCACACATGATGTAACTAGACACAACACAGCACTTACATCTTGCTGCATCAGTGGTTCTGTAGACACAGATCTTCCTCTCCTTCTCTTCCCCCTCCTGGGCCCAAAAGTACTTTTGTCAATAACTGGATACTGTGGCATTCTGCCCACAAGCCCAGCTAATCAAAATGTCCATTTTTTGTTTCAAAGGGCTTTCGGGACAGAAATAAATATCAGTTTTGTTTGGTGGGTTTTGCTTTTGTTGTTTTGTTTTACAAAGTCATAGTTTTGCAGATTAAGCTCTATAGAATATAGTCAGCTCCATTTTATGAATTTTAAGTCAGCCATGAAACAGAAGACTTGGTTGTGGTTAAACAAATATAAAAATGCCACTCTTTTCTAAATGAATAAATATGATAGGAACAGAATAGCAAAGTCCCTCCCGATGAGCAGCCATAAACTACAAAATCCCCAAATAACCCCCATACTCAGCCGAATGAGCAAACAACAACAACACAGAATGCCTTCCCTTTGCCTTCTTGCTTAAGGCATCATATGGCTGATAGAACGGATAATGTGACAGATGCATCCATTCCTCGTTCCCAGCCTGAACACCCTTGGCTAATTGTCATCAACATCATCACTGCCACTACTACAACAGCAGCATCTCTACCCAACCTTGGGCCTCATGGGCGGCGTCATGTCACTCACGGCCCCACTAGTTTGGTGTAAAA